TACCAGGAAGAGTCAAATGAAGGAAAAGTTTGTGAAGGAAAGATAGTGATTTCTAATATAGGAGAGTAATCCTTCTCTGCATCTATTCATTAAAAACTTCCTAGACTTTAAATTTATTTTTTAAATTAGCAAGTGAAGTTATTTTAGTCCTAAGTACTTCTTGAGGAGGGGACCTAAAAATAGGGAGTGTCTGGTGGACTTATACAGAAAGTAAAATATAAATTGAGTTTTTACACCTTAAAGTTTATAAAAAATTTGTTCTTAATTGTTTTCTTTTGTTTTTAAAGAGCAAAAGGGTAAGTCAGGCTTTTAAGGTAAATAAGGCAAGACTTTTGGGAGAGAGTGTTGAAGAGAAATGTAGTAGAATTTTGTTGTTACTAATCAGTGGTGGATGTATTTTTCTCTGTAATCTTCTCAGCTTCCTAATTTTCCTACAGTTTACAAGTTTACATTAATAGTATATTCATTATTTATTTCAAAATTATTTCAGAATTTTTTTTATAATTTCCATTGTGATTTCTTCTTGACCCCAGATATTTAAAAGTCTTATAAGTTCTAAATAGTTGATAATTTCCTGATGGTGATTATGATTTTTTTTTAAGTTCTAGGGATTGAACCCAACTGAGCTACATCTCTAGCCCTTTCTTTTAGTTTTTATTTTGAGACATGGTTTTGCTAAGTTGTTACTTTGCCCAGGCTGGCCTGGAATTTGCAGCCCTGCTGCTTCAGCCTTCCAGAGTGCTAGGATTACAGGTGTTTGTCACCATGCCCTGCTTGATTATTCTTAATGTAGGGAAAAACTCCACTACATCCACTAAAGGAGAATTCGTTTTTCTTTGTGTCAATCAAATACATGTTATTCCCCACACAACAACTCATTTCAGTTTTTTTGCAAATCCTAACTGGATATTTTGTAGTTTGATCCATTCTAACACCATCTTCCTGGAGTTGGCATAGACTCCACACCTTGCAGCCTCAGTACCACAAGCTGGACGTACCTCACCCCACATGTCAAGTGTCAGTTGCAAGTGGTGGATTCCCAGGCAGTCCACAATTTCGGCTTGGTTTGGCTACAAATACAGTTTCCATGACCCACAGATTTGATCATTTTAGCTTGCAGAACTCAGTAAAATAGTTTGTTTACAAGGTTACTGTTTATTAATCAAGGAACACAATTTAGAAACACTACATGGAAGAGATAGATAGGGCAAGGTGTGGGGCACAGACATGGAGCTTCTACGCCTTTTTTGGTTGTGTCACCTTCCCAACACCTCCGTGTGTTCACCTACCCGAAGGTCTTCTGAGCCATATCCTTTCTGGTTTTTATGTAGTCTTCTTCGTATAGATATGATGATTAGATGCAGTCCCTCTCCCTTGCCCAGAGTTCAGAGGGTAAGTTTGAAACTTTCAGAAGTCTAACTACGTGGTTATTTTCCCTGGCAACCAGCCCTAATTTGAAGGCTGAGCGCCTCAAGTTATCCAGTTATTTCATTTAGCATACAAAAAACCAAAAACAACAGCAAAAATCCACTTATCATTTCTGAAATTCTAAAGGTTTTAGAGTTGTATGTTAAGAGACCAGGCTAATAATTGTTACTATGTTACATTTACTATTATTGAATTCTAACTTAATTGTATTATTCTCTGTTCTGAATTATTTTATGCTTTTGGTGTTTATTGAGATTGGCAAATGTTCTGGATGTGCCTGAAAATAATGTGAGTTGTTAATAATAGTCCTCAAATATTTTACATCACTTTTTTAGGGGAGCAGTACTAGGGGTTGAACCTGAGGCCTTCATACTATGTTATATCTCCAGCTTTTTTTTTTTTTTTTTTTTAGCTTTTTATTTTGAGACAGTGCTTTGCAAAGGCACTAAATTGCTCAGGCTGTGCTCCAAACTTATAATCCTCTTACTTCAGCCTCCTAGAGTGCTAGGATTACAGGTATGCATCTCCCTGCCTGACTTCATTTTTGAAAAATTGCTTACTGAGAAAGGTGTGATAAAATACCACATTATGATTGTAGATGCGTTTGCTTATCCTACTTCCAGACAGTTTTTGTTTTATTTGTAAGTTATCTTATTGGATATATTCAAATTTAGGATTGTTATACCTTCTGGGTCAATTTACTGTTTAAATATTACATGTCCTTTAATTTCTTTTGTTTGAAAGTTCACTTTGTCCAATACTTACATAGCTACCCCAGTTTTCTTTTGTTCAATACTTGCAAGAGATGATTTGTTTCATTATTTTACTTTCAATATTATGGTTTTGCTTCTAATAGTTGTTTTTCCTTTTTTATTCTGACAGGTTTGTTCTCCTAAGGATGCCTTAAGATCTACATTAATTCAGCCAGTGATATATATGCTAGGTGTTTTCCACTTATGCTGCTTTCCTGCAGTTTTGGATTGATCAAAATTTTTTTCTACATATTTTCCCTGTTAGCTTGGAAATAATGTACTTTTCTGTAATTTTTAAGTGTTTACCCTAAAGATTAAAACACCAGTTCTTAGTTACCAAAGTTTGGTATTCATTGGTGCTTTGACTTTCTCAGACAATGAAAGTGCTTTAGATTCTTTTCACCTATTTATATTTTAAATTCCACAATATAATATTTTTTTTGTTTTATGTAGCCAGTTACTTGGATTTATCCACATATTTGATCTTCATTCCTTCCTGCATCTCTTACTTTCTAGGTGAAATTACCTTGGTGTAGGTCTGAAGAACACCCCTTAGAATCTCCTTTGGTGAGGAATCTTTTATAGTACATCCACTTTGCTCATTTTCTCAGTGTCTTTATTTGCTTTCATTTTTTGAAGGTTCTTTTTCCTGGGTATAAATTTAGAATTGCAGTTCTCTTTCTCTGAGCACGTTAAAAACATTTTTCTGTTTTCTTCTGAGGCATTTTTTTCTGAAGAAAAGTTTGCCATAATTGTTTTTTTCCTTGGCTTGTTGGTCGTGGCAGACAGGAGGATGGCTTAGCAGCTTCTTCTTTTTTTTTTAAATCTTGATACTCAGCATTTGCCCATGGTATTTTAGATGTATGATTTTTCTTTCCTTTTGTTTATTTTGGTGAGCTTCTTTAATCTGTGTGTTTCTTTCCTCATCT